ATCATCAATATTAAAACAATAAGTCTTGATCTACTTCAGCTGGTGTGCAATGAATCTAAAATATATCAAAGTTAAATGTTTATCAGTACATTACAGAAAATAATGAACTTTATCACAATATTCTAATTTTTGTGAAGGACCTGTATAAAATAAAACAAAACTATTTATTTTAACAAAAAGCAAAAAGCTGACGAGGCAGCAAAAACTCACAAAAACCATAAGGAACAGAGACAAACAATGAGACCAGGACAGAGGGGTAAACCAAACAGTGATCCAGCGAGGGTGTGGAAACTGAACCAGGATTAAATAGAAACTGAAGGAGAGGGGAAATTGCAAGGAGGGAGAGTTAATAAGGGAGTGAAAACAGGTGAAGATGGTTTACTGAGAAGAAAACTAGCTGATAAACTGAGCAGAACTGAAGGGTGGTGATACAGAGAAACAAAACAAACAGCAAAAACACAAATCCTTACATAAACATGTAAAAAAGTCTGTGCAACAGTGTTTTGTTTATTTTCCTTAGTGATGTGTGGTGCATGACTCATGAGATGGAAAATGAAAGTAACTTTAGGTTTCGGTTTCCTGAGTATCAACAGCTTCAGTCAGATAAATAAGAGCCAGCCTGGAGCTGCAGCTACAGTTTTCCATTTTCATCTGGGACACTTCAGAGCCTCTTCAACCATCAGGACTATAAAGCACCATGAGCAAACCCACAGGTAACACAACTGCTGTTTAAACATGTGGGATTTATCATTTATAGAATTTGTAATCCACGGCACGTCTGTCTTTGTTTAGATCTGAGAGCGTAGTTTTGTTTAAACAGGAAGTGTTGGAGACTTTAAGCTATCCATCAGAAAGTTTGAAGTTTATTTTCTACATACATTTTTACCTTAAAGGGTTTTTATTAAAATAGTTTACAGAATTTTATTCCTGAGCAAAGAGCATTAGATTTTTTTATATATTGTATTTTATTGAATGTTTTTATTACCGTCATGAATGAAGATTCAGTTGATTATTTTGGTTTATTTAGCAAGTTTTATTTAAGTTTACTTAATGCCACGATTATAGGACTTTTTTTTTCCTTTTTGGCATTAACAACAGTGTTGATCTAACCTCATTGTTCATGCTTCTTAATGTAAAAAATAAATACTTCTCACATGTTGAGCTTATTTTAGTTCAAGATCCTCTCCTGAACAACTTAAAAGACCACTTCTGGTTAAAATGCTTTATATTTTTTACTTTAGAACATCTTTAATTGTGGCTGAACTTTAAGTAAATTGCACCACCTTGTGGTCAAACTATGATAGAAGTTATTTTATTTAGCTAAAGTAGCAAATAATTTTAGATTTAGTCATTATAATATAAGTTAGATTTTACCTTCACACACATCTTCCCGTCACCTGTGTAAATTGTACATGTGGGCTGGTTTCATCCTTGCAGAAGCTGTGCAAACAAACAGTATTTTTATGCATTTATTTTTTCCTTTGTTCTACTCATACAGACTGGAYGCCATCCTCGTGGCTGGACACGTTTGATGAGTTGCTGTATGATGACAATGAGCTGGATTATGGAGACGAATGGACTCTCAACTTTAACTACAGCCAGACAGATGAAGTCACACAGGGCCAGAGGAAGAAAGGCTGGAAAGTCTATTGTCACCGTGCTTATGGAAGGTATGAACTGATTTTTAAAAACTATTTATTATTGATATTTTTCAAATATGTCAAGTGACTGACATTGACAAAGACTTTATCATGCTCAGAATGTGTTTTTAATGGCTCTCAGCTACTACCACATCRAATTTGAGCTCCAATCTGTAAAATTGACTAGGTTTACTCCAAAAGATAATCAGTTGTACATCTAATATAAATTAAATAATTTTTTACCAGACAGAAATACGATGAAACACACAGACATGAGCATTATATAAAATAACTAGTTAAAAAAACAGCCAGTCATCAGAAAACACCTCCATGTGTCTGATGTGGGCATCTCTCCTCTGATCTCCCTCAGCTTTCAGTGTAGATCTTGCCATAAGGTCTGGTCTTCAGCTCGGGTGATGGTGGTGTTCCGTTACCGGCTGCGACAAGGCCGTGGAACCRTCATCATGAGGCCCTTCGGTCAGGCTTGTCGCAGCTGCCAGGATGATGAATATGACCTCCCCGGTTTTACCAAGAAAGAAGAGGAACACGGCCTGCTCAGGCTTTTTTCCAAAATCAGAAAGAATTGCTACGGGGAGGAGGACGAGGAGGACAACAGCTCCTCCACGGCCTCTGGCAAAGTGAGGACCAAGCCCCACGAGAAAGCACTGTGTCAAGCCTGTGCTCTGGGGATTTGCAATCAGGATGATGGCTGTGAATGAGTGTGTGTGTGTGTGTGTGTGTGTGTGTGTGTGTGTGTGTG